GGTTTGGGTTTATTTTTACTCTGATATTTTCCCAGTTGATAAAAGTGTTTGGACAATTATTGTTAAAAATCGTGAGCCGCATTTGTCGCGTGCCAATTGAATCTAATCTGGTAAATATATATATTTTGTAGTAGGATTTCTCGCGTGCCAATTGAATCTAATCTGGTAAATAAATAGGTCGTAGTAGGATCGTCGATGGATGTTTTATTACTAAATAATATTTTTATTGGCACTTCAAACGTGCTGCAGATGTGTGTGATGTTCAATCATTATTGCATTCATCCGATTCATGATTCAAATTGTTAAAATTTGACGTACTCTTACAGCGATGATCGCTCAGATGCTACCGAGCCAATCTTTATTGATGCCACTTCAATGGGCAGCGAACTTAACTGCTGCCCAGCCTCGCCCACAACTGTGCCAGCAAAGTCGGCCTTTGAGTCGCCGATGCGACGTTCGGGACGTCGTCAGCGAACCACGTCGATTGGTAATCAGACAACCACTGCCAATCCATGCGAGGGCATAATACGGTCGAATAATCGCACTATCTATACGGCCGGACGTCCGCCATGGTACAATTGTGCCGGCCAACAGGTCGAACCCTTTGTCATAGGTGCGTAAATCATAATCAATACCTATAAACGATTTGTTATTAATTGGTTTTTGTATATATTTCCAGGCATTTGCGGAGGCAGTGCATCCGGCAAAACGACCGTGGCAGAAAAAATCATAGAAAGCCTCGATGTGCCTTGGGTGACCTTATTGTCCATGGATTGCTTCTACAAGGTATATAAAATGGACGAATGTGACAGAAGAATGTGCAGATCATGTTAAAGCTTCCTTACCTCATCTGTAGATCCTTAATGAGAAGCAACATGAGCTGGCGCTCATTAATGAATATAACTTTGATCATCCAGATGCATTTGACATTGATCTGCTTATCGATGTTCTCACCAAACTGAAGGAGGGCAGAAAGGTGGAAGTTCCAGTTTACAATTTTGTAACGCATGGCCGAGAGAGTCAGACGGTAATTTGATTATAGCTTTAATATTAAGTGTATATAATAATACTACGAATACATACATACATCTTTCTACTATATAAGTAAGTTATACATACAAAATTTCTCTATGTAAAAAATACGGTTACTTTAAATATAGTTAGATTCTTAATTAATAGATCTTAAGATTAAATTTTCCATTTTAAGACAGTTTTAAAAAATAATATTAATTTTAACTTCAGAGCTTTCAACGTGAATCACTTTGATTTTGCATTTCTAACAGTAAAGAAAATTGCATAGATCGATTTTCCATAGGCAAAATATAACTAAGAAATACAAAAAAGTTAGCGTAATATAGAACGGCTACAAAATAATATTAAATATAGTTATATGATATATAATATATGGCACAAGTACATATGTCAATATAATTATCGCAAAGATTACAAGGATACTTATCATTTCTTTTATGTTATATTTATGGCAGCTATTAAATTACTATATCTCAATAATATTATGTCTTGTAGAGTAAAGATAAATAACGAACAATTCATTGAATGTACTATCTATATTGAATAATATCCATTTGTTGCACTTTCAGAAAACCATGTATGGCGCGAATGTCATAATATTCGAGGGTATACTTACCTTTCATAGTTCCGAGGTGCTGAAACTGCTCGACATGAAGATCTTTGTGGACACAGACCCGGATATCCGTCTGGCAAGAAGACTTAAGCGGTAAGCGAATCGATTTGAAATTCTCATCGGTTTTGATAACAATTTGATAAACACTTTCAGTGATATCTCGCAGCGTGGACGAGACTTGAAGGGTGTGCTAAAACAATATCTGAATATGGTAAAGCCCTCGTATGCAAATTATATAGCGCCCACAATGGCCCATGCGGACATTATTGTGCCACGTGGGGGCGAGAACACAGTGGCAATAGCTCTTATAGTGCAACATGTACACACRCAGCTGCAACTGGTAAGAGAGAAGCGCCTGACCGAGGTTGATCAACTATTGAAATGCATCGAATTTGTTTTGCAGCGCGGTTTTAAGCTACGTGAAACATTGGCCAATTCGTATAAGGATCAGCCAATGCCAGATTCATTGCATTTATTGCATCCAACGCCACAGATTAAGGGTCTGCAYACATTCATACGGTGCAAGAATACGTCGCGGGATGAGTTCATTTTCTATTCAAAGCGGCTCATACGACTGGTCATCGAATATGCATTAAGTTTGTTTCCATTTAAGTCAACCTGTGTGGAGACACCGCAAGGTGTGCTTTACGAGGGCAAACGCATGGAGTCTCGTAAGATATGTGGTGTATCCATATTGAGAGCTGGTGAAACAATGGAGCAGGCCGTTTGTGATGTATGCAAGGACATACGCATTGGCAAGATTCTTATTCAGACAAATCTGAAAACGGGCGAACCGGAGCTCTACTATCTGCGTCTGCCCAAAGATATAAAAGACTTTAAAGTGATACTGATGGATGCTACCGTGGCGACTGGCGCTGCCGCCATGATGGCCATCAGAGTGCTACTCGATCATGATGTTCCCGAAGAAAATATTATTCTTGCCTCATTGCTGATGGCCGAAATTGGTGTACACTCGATCGCTTATGCCTTTCCCAAGGTAATTCTACTACACTAATATATATTTATTCGACTCTTTTAATTATTCTTTGTTGAGTAGGTGAAAATAGTTACTTCCGCTCTGGACCCCGAGATCAATAGCAA